AACCCCAGGTAGGGGGCAGGTTAGTGATTTTCCTTGTCTGGATTCGCTCATCCGACTGCGAATGCTCGATGGCACTGCAGGCCAAGCATCATAGAGGGCACCCGAGCCTGCGTGTGACCTACAGCGCCGCGTCCATCGTAAATCACAAGCGCCAGCGGCAAGTCGTTACCCTTCAAACGCAAACTAAGTCTCCGGAGCACACGGAGGATCACACAGCGCGAAACAGAAGGGGCGATGACGTATCCCCCGGATCCGCCCGCGGTAGATACGCGGGTAATAATCGGGCCGGAGCAGGCCAGGCCAGCCGGCGGTGTCCGCCCGTCCGTATCAATAACGCCCCGAGTGCATGGGACCGACTGTTATCGGTCTGCGATGAATATAAACGCTCCGCAGCCGCCTCAAGGCAAACGCCTACGGCGCCAGTGGCTCTGCCCTAGAAAATGTATCTTATGGAAGCAACGAGCCGGGGGTAGCGGCGGCGGCGGCGAGCGGGGGCGGAGGTGAAAAGTCGGTATCATCACGGCGGTCACGGTCGCGTTGCGGCGTGTTGGCAATACTAATCCCAACGCCGGACTAGTGAGTGAGTGAGTGTGTGTGCGTGTGTGTGATATCCTCCAAGTGATTATTGTAAATATCAAATCAAAGTGAACGAGCGAGAAGGCGGAACGTTAGCGTAAAACATAGCCTCGCGATCGCTTTAAAGCGTACGTGTGTTAGCTGCCTGCGATGGCGTTTCCAATCTAGATTTTCGCCGTACAGGCTATTACAGGATATTGGAAGGTAAAGCGCGTCATGTTCCAGCTTTTTAGCGTGGCGGAATTTCTGATCAGTAAAATTCGTGCTTCAACAGTAAAGACTACCCTTGATAACGATTTACAAGTTGGGCATAGTGTGTGCGGAGCGGGACGGGCCGAAGCACAGCGCGACCAGACTGGTCGGGGCGGTGGGGAAGGGGCAGGGCGCGGCCGGCGCGGAACACACCGCACACCCCCGACAGAGTGCAACGTCAGCCCGCGTCAGCCCACCGCGCACAGTGGTGACGGGACAATGCGATCGAGCGATCACGGTGGTCTGTCCACGCAAAGGAAATCACTTCATGTTCGATGCGACCTGGGGGCTCGCCCGAGGAAAATACTCTGCCAATGAACGCATGAAGGAAAGTAGCGTCTGTTCAGAAAAAAGTGTGAAAAGAAAAACACGGGTCGAAATATGTATATTGTTCGTTTCGTTCACGTTCCAAATAATGTATTTCAGACATTTTGTTTTCGATAATTTTTCACTTGATCCGCATTTGGTATTTGATACGTCTATGAATTTGCGCACTGTTGTAGCAATGTGCACGTAAAGCACACTGTTGCAGCACTGTTAATGCCATGCATAGCACATTGTAGTTGCAGTGTTCATGCCATGTACACTGTTGTAGGAGCGCTCATGCCATGCACACTGTTGTAGCAGTGTATATGTCATGTGCCCTGCACACTGCTGTTGTAGCAGTGCTCATGCCATGTGCCATACAAACTTCTGTAGCAGTGTTCACGTCATGTGCCATGCACACTGTTGTAGCAGTGTTCTTGCCATGCACGCGTGTTGTGCACGGAGTACGAAACAATGGGCCGTCGTCAGGTCAGACAGGGAGGAAAGAGAAGGGAAATGCGAGTCCGAGAAGTCCTCTGGTCTGGTCATTACGGCGGAAAGCTTCCTCCCCGACCCTCGCAGCCGCCGCAGTCGCCCGTACTAGTAAAGTGATACAAACGCAGCGCAACAAAACCGTTGTAAAAGTAGGATTACTTTTCTCCCAACGTGGCTTGTGATAATGGACACCTGAGGCCTGCACGCCCAGCTCCATCCAGGCCCAGCTCGAGGCCCAGCTCGAGGCCCAGCTCGAGCGCCATCCAGGCCCCATCCCATAGCGGCACGCAGGCCCGCCGGCCGGAGATGCACCTTGCACAACACTATGACTGCCGCTGCTCCAGCCGCTGCTCCAGCCGCTGCTCCAGCCGCTGCTCCAGCCGCTGCTCCAGCCGCTGCTCCAGCCGCTGCTCCAGCCGCTGCTGCACCAGGCAATTGATTCGAGTGCTGCCGCGCGGCTGCCACACCCCCAGCGCGGTGCGGCCAAACCCGCACCCATTGTACCACTGGACACACTGCCAGAGTGCTCTCGCGGCACTCGGTAGGCAAGTGCGAAACTTTAAACATGGTCAAAGGTTGCGCTGCCATTTTATCGCATTGGTACAAGTTTCTCTTGAATTATTATCTGATTCTTCAGGTTTAAGAATAGATTTTTTTGCGGTCCCATGGAACTTTTGTCCTCTACACCCGTCTACACCTTCGCGCAGGAGAAAGTACTCCTGCCTTCCACCTTCGCGCAGAACGCTCGCCCAACCTCAACAAAGAAGTATGACTTATGAGACATCCTTACTGGCCGGAGGTGGGTGAATGAAACCAGCCAGTCGAATTCCTGCCAATGGCATTCCACAGCCTCCCCTGCACGTGCCGGGTGCTGGCCCTCCGGTTCAGCCAACGCCTGGTCCTCGGTCCTCGCACGGCCTCTTATGCGGGTAGCAGTAGATTCAGCGCTCAGAAAATTTGCAGGGAACATATATATTCTTGTTTCACTCGTCGATGGACGCGCGTGCTACTTTACCCAGTCTGGTGAGTCGTCTCTCTCTCTCTCTCTC